AAGCCAAGCTCTTAACCATCGCGCCACTCGGCCGGCCCTGCCTTACTTTTTTAAATGACTATAATATTTCATTATATGACTTCCATAATTTGTTTAACCAGTCCCTACTCTTGGACACTTGGGCAATTTCTAGTTTTTTTTTTTATTTCAGATAGTACCCCAGTGCATATCCTTTGTGCATATATGGAGGCATGTTTGTAAGATAAATCCAGAACTAGTATTGTTGGATCAGAAGGTACATGCATTTTAAGTTTTTATAAATGTTGTCACTCTTCAAAGGAGTTTACATTCTCACCAATGACATAAAAGTGTGCCTGCTTTTCCCAAACCTTTCCCAAATTAGTACATTATCAAGGGTTTTTCACTTCTGTTTATAAGATAGGTGGATAATGGTGCTTCATTATTTTAATTATTGTCCTTAATTAATGAGCATTATTTCATGTGCTTAAAGCCATTTGTATTTGTCTTTTTCTGCTAACTAACTTGTGTTCTTGGCCCATTTTTAGTAGATTGTTGGTCTTTATATAGTAAAGATGTTAGACCTTTGTTATTTTTCTCCAGTTTGTTTATAATTGAAACATTATTACATATCCTATTCATCAGACCTGGCTCTGAATGAGAGTTATCAAAAGTCACATGCCCCCTCAAAGTAAAAATACTATTTATATCATTATCTAGGCTACAAAAAGAATATGCCACAAACTCTGAAAACACATCTTTCTTTTTTTTTTTTTTTTACATAAAGTAGAAGTTCTTTAACTCTTTGTAGCAATACCAGCATCACAGATATCATTTCAAGAGGTGACTTTTTTTTTTTTTTTTCCCCCCCTCAGCTGAACCATCCTGCCACCTGTTGGCAGCTCAGCTCGGGCCGGGACTCAAACTGCTGTTGCTCAGAGCTCACACTCTTAAGTGAGCTCTTAACCAACTAAGCCACTCGGCCAGCCCGCTGTTATAGTTTTTAAAAGCAATTATTTTTATCTTATTCTCATATTCAGCATATAAGTATATTCTTTCAGTTTATTTTTTAGTATTTCTATTCTAATTATATATTTTAAAGAAATTGGACAATATATAAAAGAAAATGAAAAATCATTTGTAATCCTTCAACCCAGAAATGACTGTTACACTACAGTTTTCTTCCAGGATTTTCTGTGTACATGTATTATGTATATTTTGTGTATATATATGTATATATGTATATATACATATATATATATAAAATTGTATCTGAGTTTATATATTTTATTTTTCATGATTGGAACTCTGTATGTATAGTTTTATATTCTAGGGTTTTTTTAATCTAAATTTTTTTTTAAGTTTAATGTTTAAATAGGTATTCATTAACAGGATACCTATTTTTGAGAGGTGTTATATCCTGGTTAGTTAAAAAAAAATGAGTCTTGGCTATTTCATATTGAAGAATGTGCTTTTCTGTTTGTTTCTGTCTTTTTTTTTTTAATCAACCTAGAATATAATTAACTAGGTCCTGATAAGAGAGGAAGGTCCTTGAATGGCTTTTATCCGTCTTGTTTTTATTGTGTTGGGCAAGTTGTGAGGTTGGTAACCATTATAAAGTGACTCCATTGGTGGAATAAAATGGAGAAGCTATGCATTTTTTTAAAATCCTTCCTGGCTTTCAATTCTTACAGGGCCAATACTCCCATTTGGTTTTACTGGCGGCATTTGATTGTATTGATGATACTAAGCTTGTGAAGCAGATAATCATATCAGTAAGTATTTCTGATGGTCATGAATTTTAATTGAATTGATATATCATTTGTGGGTTTGTAAGTTTCATTTCACACATATGTGTGTAGACTTTGACGTGTACTTTTTGACAATATTTTATAATTTGCCTCAGTTCTGTTTTGAGGGTTTGCTTTATTTTCCTGTATAAGCCGTAATTTTATAATTCAATATTAATAATATTGTTTTAAATATGTAAAAGAGTGGTTAAATTAGGATAATATGACTTTTTAGACCATATGACAAAAACTAAATGAAAAGTTAGCATTTGATCAGAAATTTGTTTACATAGTAATTTTTCAGTTATTCAGTAACTCATATGCAGGCAGAGGACATCCATGACCCTTCTCTCTCTCTCCCTTTGGAGAAACTACCTCCACACAATTATCCAGCTTATCAATACATTTGTCCTAGATTGAGCTAGAGAAGAAAAGCTGATAAAACTCAACTCAACTATGATACTTCTTGGAGCTTTCATGAAAGCTTTTGTAGAGTCCAATGAAAAATTTTTACTAAAATTAAAATACTAGCGTCCTTCTTTACATTTCAGCAATTCCTTCCAGCCTGGTATAATGACCATAAAGTGGTAATAATTGAATGCAATTTATTTAACCCTAAATTTGCCTTCAGAAAAACTGAGCTGTCCTCTTGAAAAGACTACTCCAAAGTAAAAACTGCATTCTGAAATAATTTCCTTTATTGTGCAATGATTGCCATTCTGTAATGATTGACTTCTGAATCGGGGACTTTCTCTTCCCTTCCTTTATTTCTAGTGTGCAAGTAGTGTTGGGTATATAATAGAGGCTGCAGGGGCAGGGATAAGAAATTGCAACTGGTTGCGGGGATAAGAAATTTGTCACTGGTTGCAGTGATAAAGCTTGGAAACATTTTAAAAACTAATCTGTATAGACATAGGTTATTCATCTGAAAATTACAAACCTTTCTGTTTGATACACATGGATGGGGCCCTTGGAGAAATCTTAGTAACAAAAGCTACTTTCACACCATTTGCAGGGAGAAGCAGGTGGGTGTTCAGAAAGAGACTTTACCTGATGGTATGTGGTGGTGCTGTGGCCTCTCTCTGTAGCCTGTCTGGACCAGGAGAGCTTGGTGTAGGAGGAAAAGCTATCAGCTAGTGGAGGGGAAGATTTGTTTTCTTAGATACCAGCTGTATGTCCCCATGTGTGTGAATTTCTCATGCCCTTGCTGTCATTTTTCAACTTTCCCCTTGACTATTTTAAGATTGTGATGACTTTCTTGGGGATAAGATTGTGGGAAGAAACAAGTTGGCAAGACTTTCATGTCACAAACTGAGTATTTTGACATGTTCCCTGTGACTTTATTACCCTTTGACTCCAATCAATAATGATTGTTTTTCATTCTGGTGACGGAGATGTGAGGCCATAGATTGGCTAATGAATAAACTTGTTTCATGAAAATGGAAACAGGCTGGGCTATTGAAAGTTTGCTTTTGTTTAATAATTTTCAGGACAACTGAAATTTGCATAACTGTTCCAAATGGATTTCAAGAGAAACCAAACTTACTTTAGGATTTGCTGCAATTGTTGGCTAGATTGATTTTTTTTTTCCAAAGATTTATCCCACTTAAAGTTGCTGTTGAAAACAGTTTTAATCCTTGTGCTTATCAGTTTGATTCCCACCACTACTTAGCCCACATTCCTAATGCCTTTCTCATACTTAGGGCAGCTTTCCCTGGGAATGGCCTGATTTACTGATCTCTCGCCTTTAACTGACAAATGCTCAGCAGGTTGTGTGTGTCATTAAACTATATACTAGTGAGAAAATTCTGGAATGCTAATTGCTTTTGTATTTTTTCCACCCATCCACCAGAAAATGTGTTGCAGTATGCAGTGCTTTTAAAAAATACCCAAAAAAGCTTACTGTTGCTAAGAATTCTGTTCAGGGTAACCAGACTTCCTGAGGGGTCAGGGTAAAATCACAGCCTGGTCAGCCAAGCCCTTACATTTCAAAATGGCTACACACTGTTGCCCACCTACTTTACTTTCCAAAATAAACGTACTTATAAAATTTGATTCATTTTACCCTAGAATTGTTGGTGTGACACCACTGCTTTGACAGCAGTTGTCCACAGAAAAGGCAGTAAATACACTGGCTAGTTGCTGTTTGTGACTCAATATTGATGCATACTTCAAAATATATTGTCTTTAAACCACACAGAAAGGTATAAAGAATAGTACAGTGGACACCTAGCCTCCCACCATTTGATAAAGAAGTAAAACTTGACAAATACAGTTAAAGTTCAAGCCCTTTGTGTACCACCCCGATTGCATATCCCAACCCTGCCCATACCCACTGTGGTGAATTTTTTGTGTATTATTCACATGGATTTCCCTATCCTTTCGCTATATATAGATGTACGTAGTACTATTTTTACTATTTTGCATGTTTACAAATTCTGTGTAAATGATGTTTTCTCCTGCAACTTGCTTTTGGTATTATGTGTGTGAGACTCATCCTCAAACCTTTTTTACAATCAAAGGGGCCAGGTGGTATTTCAGGCTTTGTGGGCTGTGTATGACCTCTTGGTTGCCTATTGTCAGTTTTGTCTTAACGACCCTTTAAAATGTAAAGTCCATTCTTGTCTTGTAGGATGTACTAAAACAGGCTGCAGGTTGGATTTGACCCTTGGGCCTCTGTTTGCCTAACGCTGTTCTAAATCATTTATTTTTCAATGCCAGATAGTGTTTTCCTACGAGTATACTGCAATTTATTTTTCCATTTTTCTGTTGATTGATATTTAGATTGTTTACAATTTTTAAAACTTTAAAAACTCTTTATAATTTTTTGCTATCCAAATCGTTCTATGAGCATTCTTCTGTGTCTCCTTGTTTCTCTAAGACGTTTGCTTAGCAGAATCGCTGGTTGCCAGATATGCTGCACATATGTTTATATAGAGTCACGTGTCCATCCCACCCAGCCACTACAAAACCTGTTGCATTATGCAGTGTTTTTAAAAATAGCCAAGAAAGCTTAGGGTTGCTAAGCATTCTGTTCTGAGTAACTGGATTTCCTGAAATGTCAGGTTGAAATCATAGCCTAATGAACACCCCTGCTTTTCTCTTTTAAGACCAAGCTCCAATTCAGTCTCCAGGCAGCATTCTCTGTGATCTCCCAGCCAGACGTGGTCTTCCCGCCAGACCTGTTCTCCCCATCCTCTCAGCTCCTGTAGTTTGTCCTTGCCATCCATTCACTTAACAGTTAATCATGACCTGACCCAGGGCTCACAAACTCAGAAATGTTCATTGACCAGGCAGGTAAATGAGTTGAGGCAGGCCAGGTGTAGGGGGTGGACTGTGGGGAAAGGAGAGGGCACAGTCCTGTCCAGGGCGGCAGCCTCCAGCTACTAGGAATGCGAGCTCCACAGCAACGGAGCTTCTGGTTTTGTTTTGTTTTTCTTAATTGTGGTAAAATATACATAACATAAAATTTCACCTTTTTAATAAAGGACACAGTTAAGTAGTATTAAGTATATTCACATTGTTGTACAGACAGCCTCCAGAACTTTCTCATCTTGCAAAGTTGAAATTATACGCATTAAACTGTATCTTTCAATTTTTTGGGTAAGCCAACAAGGTGGACTTTTGGATAAAAACCATTGTATTTTTAAAACAAAACCCTGAGGATGGTGCAGACACCACCTAGTGATCTAACCTTCCTTCCACAATTCTTGTTATTGTCCGTTACTTGCCTGTCTTATTTTTGATTTTTCATTAAGTTTCCCTGGCCTCTTCCACTAGATTTTAGCTCTGTAAGGTGAAGGCCAGTCTGCATTTCTTTGCCCCACACACAACCTACCATAGAGGTGTGTGCACCATAGGCTCAACTCACAGTGATGTGTGCTACTTTCTGCGTTTCTTTCCTCCACTGGACATGCACGTGCACACTGACCCTCCTTCCAGAGCACATCCTTCATTTTGACCTTTCCCTTTCCTTTTGTAAGAGGGCTGGCAAAGTAAGAGTATCAGTGACAAGGATCCAACATGTGGAGGCCAGAACCGGCCAGACATGTCTTCAGAAGGGAGGTCTTTGTTTTCTTCTCACATTTTACTTCTGTTCACATGCCTGCTTTCGAATAAGGCATAAGAAGAAGAAATGACCAAAAAAAAAGGAACTTGTGATTTTTCTCTAAGTGTATTCTTGTAAGAGGGTCAGCTAAGTCAAAAACCTTTAAAATTCAACCTCTATTGTTGGGGTTCTCTCTCTTTTGAGGATTCCAAACTCATGACTCCACCATCTTTGTTAATCTCCATAGTTAAAAGTGCTGTATTTTGAGAGTTGTGTTTTTATATGAAAGTAAATATAATTATTTGATAGCAGTTTGCATGTAGATTTTCTCATTTGCTCCTGGTAATGACCCACAAGTCAGCAGGTGGATTATTTCCTTTTACAGATAAGGAAGTTGATGTGTGGAGAGGTTAAAAGATTTGCCAGAGGCTGCTCTGCTGGAGCCCAAAGACTGAATTTACCATAAGATCAACTATACCATAGCTTCCTCTTACTTATTTCTACATGTTACTATATCTGTTAGTGCTCTCATCTCTAGAAATGCCCCTCCGCTGTGTGTGTGACCAGGTTAAAGAGAAGTGAATGAGTGCTCTGTAACATTGCAACACTCACACTGTGTCATTGTGTTTTTCAAAGGTGTATGTTTTTGATGGTAGGAAAGCTGGAACAAGAGTGAAATGGGGGGAAATTAAGTGATATCACACTCAAATGAATGTTGTTTAGATTCTAAATTCCTGAATTATACAAACTGAAAGGCAGTAAAGGTCAGTGAATTTGGGGACTAGTCCTTAAGTAGCATTTGTGTATGGAATTAAGCTGCTCATGTTAAGGTGAAACCATTTCTGCCGAGTCATATGTGCTGCCCTAGTCCTTAAGTGTGGAACCACAGAGAAAGTAAGTACATTAACAAACATGTTGTTGGCGTCATGCCACCCGTTTTCCTCCTTACACCAAGAAAAAAAATTTTTTAAACAGCATCCATTTGTATTTCTTCACTGCATACTCCCTCCCATTTTTGTTGTTTGTTTGTTTGTTTCTGTTTGTTTTAAGCAACTATTTTAAAGGTATTATTCCAGAGTGGCTTTTTAAGGACAGCAAAGTCGTGGCTTTTTAAAAAAAATGATTGTAGAAATTGGCCTAAACTATATATCCTTCTCACTTCTTTTCAACAGATTAAAGTATCTGTTATCTTTTCAGTTGGTTAAGCCTTAAATAGGAAAAGCCATACTTAAAGTAGCCCATATTTGTGGCACTAAACGGTTTATTAAAAAAATGCATATATTGGGTCATATTTATCTTGAAAATATAAAAGAACTCCCTCCTCTGTGATAATGTACAATTTTTCTGTCTTCCCCTTTACTACTCAAATTTTAAGTTCATTTTCCTTGGATGGTTGAATTTTATATTCATTTTGAGGTCATGAAATCCATTGCACCTATTCTCTGAAAACCTTTACATTGTCTGAAGAAATCTTTGTATGTGACCTTGAACTTCTTCAAAAGTAGGAGAGCACAGTGGGGTTTCGAGTCATGGAGGCAGGAGATTATGTCCTGAATGAGAGTGACCTTTGCTCATCTGCTGCAAGTCACTTTACCTCTTTAAACCCTGGGCTTCTTACCTGTAAAATGAAAGTAACTAGCACCCACATCATCGTGGTGTGCAGGGCATTTAAGATGTTGGACGTACTGCTCTCGGCACAGTGTCTGGTTCTTAAGTGTTAGCTGCTGTTATTAATTATAGGAAGCACAATATACTTTTGTGCAGAAAATGAGGGAAGCTTAGGAGTTTAAAAACAAGTGTGGTATGTGGAATTTGGAGTTGCATTATCAACCTTGGGGTCATGAATTTTCTGTATCATGATCCCGTGATTGATGGCTGACTTAACTTCAGCTTGGTTCTTTGCACTGAAATTACAGATCTCATTGTAATAAATAGGCACTTAAGAGAATAGCAGATCTGAGTATATCATCTCATGGAGAATTCCTTTTCTTAAGAGTGATCGTATGTTTTCTTTGAAAGAGACTAAAGTTGAAATAGGAAACCAGAGCCCTGCCGCTGACACTACATCCTTCGACCTCCTTTCTGGGCTCCTCATCTGTAAACCGGGATGATTGGACTGAATTCTTTCTGTGGCCCCATCCAGTTCTGAAGAATCTCGGGTGCTCAAACACACATGGCTTTGCATATCTGTTAGGTTTGGCACAAGAAATAGGACTGTGAGAGGGGGAAAACCTGAAGATTTTCTGTTGCATATTCTCTATTAGGAAGAAAGGACTTTTTAAACAGTAACTTTTCTGTCTTTGAAAACGTCAGCAAATTTACACAAGAGCTTAGTTGGGATAGAGATGATACTGCCTTTTTTCCTTAAATCCATACAATTAGAAAAGGAGGTTACTGTTCTTGGGTAAGTTGATTAAAAAAAGTCATAGATTGTAGTTCTTTATAACTGCTCCGTGGGGTCTTTCTGCATGTTTCCCTTCCCCCCTTTTGTTTTCAATGAGGTACTTAAATAGCCTTCATTTACCATGAATAAGCAACCTCACTTGAAAAACCTTGATCCGTTTGTTCTGCTTAACAGAGTTCCTTTATCCCCCTTCACATACATCTCAGTGGGGAAGTTCTAATAAGAAGGTTGTTCTTCTGATGCTGATGCTACATGTAAATGCAGCTGCAAATTAACTGTATCTGCTCAGTGACCCCAGCAAGCAATGTCCCTCGTAATGGTGGCCTGAGAAATATCCGTTTTATAATGAAGGAAAATAAGTGCTTTAAATATTTTTTAAGTCCTTGAGCTTGGTCAGTTACATAGATGGATTTTTCCGTAATGCTAGTCACAGTAGAGACTCATTTCTGTGTTCTGAGTGTAAGTTTCTTTGTGCTTGAACGAGACAATTTCAGAACTAGTTCCACATTTGCCATTAAGTATGTTAGGGAAAATAGTTAAGTATGTATCCTTCTTTGCCATTCAGATTCCAAGCATCCTTTGAGCATACAAATTCATTGTTTCTATAATTTTACAGGAAATTATTAGTTCCTTGCCTAACATGTTAAATGACAAATACGGAAGGAAAGTCCTACTGTACCTACTAAGCCCCAGAGATCCTTCACATACAGTACGAGAAATCATTGAAGTTCTGCAGAAAGGAGATGGAAATGCACACAGGTGAGAACAAGTAGAATGGCTTGAGCCCTTTATCCTCTCCTCTGATTTATTAATGTTGAGTAACGCACGCTTACAGAAATCTACTCGAGCATGCACGCCCCCTTTCATGCTCCCCCACTCTCTCAAACTCAAAAGGTGAATTCCGTTTTTAAGCCTGTAGGTTTCTTTTGTCTTGAAAAAGAAATAAAAGCGTCATGCCAAAAGAATGCCTCTGAGCACCTGGCACATAGTAGGCACTTAGGTGTGTGGTTTGTTTTGGTTTTGCTTTATTTTTAAAGCTACTTGTGCCACATAAGTACTCAAAAGAGTAGAGTCTGTAAAACAGTTTGAATATGTGTTGTCTCATAAGATATTTTGTTGTTTGGTTTTTGGACCGTTTTGGGGTGTTTTTATTATATAGGTGTTTTTATTATATACAGCAAGCTTTACTTGTCCAGTGCTTATTCTGTGCCAGGCACTAGTCACATCCTGGGGACACAAATATGAAAGACAGATATTCCACCCTCAAATCACTTGTGTACGTGCATAACAGAAAGATACAGGCAATTAACAATAGTGTGTGACACAGACTGTTATAAGCCCTTAGCTGTTTTTGTGAAAATAAGTTCAACATATTTCCTTTGCCATTTATCTTACCTTAATACTCATTCAATGTATCCCAACAGCAAGAAAGATACAGAGATCCGTCGCCGAGAGCTCTTAGAATCCATCTCTCCAGCTTTGTTAAACTACCTGCAAGGCCACGCCCAAGAAGTGGTTCTAGATAAGTCTGCCTGTATGTTGGTTTCTGACATTCTGGGAGCTGCCATCGGAGACGTTCAGCCTGCCATGAATGCCATCGCCAGCTTGGCATCAGCAGAACTGCACCCTGGTGGCAAGGATGGAGAGGTAATGTGCTATTATTATAAGACAGGCTGGAAGGCTATGGTGACTGCACAATCTCTCGTCATTGAGACCATTGCTATAAAGAGAATTTTAATCACAATTATCTCAACTCACTGCATACCCTCCGTACATTTGAAATTTGTGAATTCAAAGCACAATGCCGTTACAACACTGTCTGTCTCAGAAACTTGCAGTGACCCCATGAATGAAAACAAAATCCTCTTAATTTGGCTCTCTGTGGTGCATAATCGGCCCCAGGCTGCCGTTCCAGCATATTCTCTGCTCTTAGTTCTATTTGGAAGTTGCTGTGGACTTTTGCACCTCCCTGCCTTTGTACATCCTCTGCTCTCAGCCTTGAGTGCTGCCGTGTCCATTTTCCTGTGCTCATCCTTCAGGACCCCAGAGTCCTCCTCCATGAAGTCTTCCCTCATCCCCTCTTGTTAAAAAGCCTTTGCTCTTTCTGATAGCTCCTGCCTGTGTTATACGGGCCTCATGTTATTCTGTCTTTCATCTTAAGTTCATTGATTCATGTACCTGATATATGCTAGGCACTGATCAATACTACCCTCCCCGCCCCACAGAGGCTTCCCATTTGGGTGAACACAATATTTAAATGAATGAGTAACTCATCATTTTATATTGAGATAAGTGCAGTGAATAAAACTACAGATTCTATAGGATTAAGTGAGAGTAGGGGCCAACCGATCCCTAGGAAGGCTTCCCTGAGGCAGTGAAAGCTCAGCTGAGGCCCCAAGGACTAGTAGCTGGGGAAGACTGGTAGAAAGAAGATTCAGGGCAGAGGGGAGAGCATGTGCAGCAGCCTGAAGGAAGGAAAGAAGGCTGGGGTGGGAGAGCACTTAGGAAAGGGAAGAGGCAGGCAGAGGCCAGCATGCACGGCCCTTGGCCTGCAATTGGGTGTAAGCGCCTCACAAACGGACTTGCATGGGGAGCCTACTCTTTACTGACCTGTGAGCTAGGGGAAGCAATGGGCTGTGGGCCTGGCCCCTGCCCTCATCAGCAGATCATGTTATCAACTCTGGAAGATGCATGCATAATAAGTTTCTTTTTGTTTTAAAGAGATTGAGCCCATTGTCTCCCATGCTTGATAAGGAGAGAGCCTAGGTACTGAGGGAACAATGATATGGACCATAAAAAGGAGTAAGATTGAGCTAAAAAGATGCTTTCTTGGCCTGCTTATCAGATAACATCCATATGTAGTCACTCGTATTTAAGCATTCAGCATTAGGTTTTAATGTTTCTACTAGTGCTCTGTCCCATAGGTGTACTTGAACCTCAGAATTGCATACTGCAATCTGAGAAGTGCTTAGCGTGATCTAAGATGAGCGCTGTGGTGCTCTTCAAGCTGGAACTCATGAAGCTGAGTCTGAGCCGCTTTGCAATGGCTATGTGATCTTGAATAACCCTCATTTCAGTCTGGGGATTGGAATAGACCTCTGGTGTAGTGGTCATTCAGATAAAGACCTCTGAAGCCTTCTGGGACTTGTAACTTGCCTGAGTCCTTATCTTTCTGTGGTGATAGAGAATGGATTCTAACTGAGGCATGGATGCAAACAGCTTGTAAGTTACCGTGTTCTTGACCCCTTCTAGCTTCACATTGCAGAACATCCTGCAGGACATCTTGTTCTGAAGTGGCTAATAGAGCAAGATAAAAAGATGAAAGAAAACGGAAGAGAAGGTAGGTTGTTAAACTTGACCTTTTCTTGTATCTTATGTGGAATTTCAGTAATTTCTGGCACCCTGAACTTTGTCAGCCATTTAAGTTCAAATGAAAGTTTGTTGAATGTTCAGAAATAATGCTTATAAGAAATGATTTGGTGATTGCCAGTATGGCTTTAGTAAAGGCTAAAAATTTGTGTCCTGGAATCCTTTAATTCTTTTTCTGTTTCCCACCCTCCCTCATTCTCTCTCCCCGTTTCTTTGCTACTTCAGACTTCTGCCTGGGCTTGGCCAGTTTTCTAAAATGCCATTCTATTCCTTTAGGATGATGAGCAGTACACTTTGGGGGTAGAGGGGAGTAAGTATCATTACCCCAGTTGGAAGGCATGATATTTATCTCTAGTTTTGAGGAAAGGATAAGCAGAAGGAAATTATCCTTATCAGAGAATTTTGAACTGATGCCTATTTGGTGTTGAAATATATGTGGCCAAAGAGTGAGCCAGTCCTTGGCGCTTTCTGTTTTTCATAAACCTTACAGCTGCTCTGTAGAAACTCAGTTCTCAAGAGGAGGACAGCATCTTTTATCTAATTGAGAAGTGGCATACCATTTGCCTCGCAGTCCTGTCTTTGACCAGGTCTTCTCTTAATAAATTCAAACTCCATCTGGTATTTCAACCACTAGAGAGACTTCCCCTAACTTAAGTAAAGCAGTTAGGGCTTTCTATTACTATATCTGAAAAAAAAGTGACAAATCGTGAATTTATGTCTTAAGGCAATTGCAGTTCTAATGGCTAGTGAGGCAATCAGTATAGCAGCATGGCTGTCACTTCTCATCTGTCTGTCTTTAGCAGTAGATACTTGGAGCTATTTCTCAACTGTAAATTTTTTGTAAAAGAGAAAGCTTTTTGTAATAAGTTTTGAAGAAAAAAATGTATTGAATCATCTTTCTGATTATTAAAAAAGTTGGTACACAGTTAAGCTGAGTTTATGTCAGAAAAGTTGTCTGGCTTACTTTTAAAGTCCAGGAATTTTCTAGTGATTATTCTCCCTCTTAATTAAAATGCACTGACAGCCCTAAAACATGCCTGTTTGAGTCTGATGTTTTCATCATTTTCATGTAGCCCCAAATGAGTGTGACTAGCTGTCTTGGTTATCCGTTGCCGTGTAACAAGCCACCCCAAAACTTAGTGGTTTTCAAAACAAGTCATTCGATCAGGGCTTGATTGAGCTGGTTTCTGCCCTGCTCAGGGGCTGCTCAGCTTGGGGTTGGAGTATTCACTTTCATAATGGCTGGCAGTGGCTGAGGCCAGCAGCTTCAGTTCCTCTCCGGAGGCTGCTTGGGCTTCCTCAGAACGTGGTAGGTTTGGTTTTAAGAGAACAAAGTAGGTGCGTAGTTCTTTCATGATTTAGCCTCAGAATTATTTAACATCACTTTTATCATATTCTCTTGGTTAGGTCAGTCCCAAAGGCCCACTGAGATTGAAAAGAAGACATCGATTCCATCTCTAGAATGGGGGCTGGGCAGGCAATAGTCTAGAAGAGCACACAGGACAGCAGATACCATTGTGGTCACCTTTGGAAAACACCGTCTGCCTCACTAGCTGATCTCTCTCTCTCCTTAGCATGTGCCATGAAAAACTAAATAGCCATATGCCTCTTGGCTTTTAAAGGCTCCTTCTATTTGCATATTTTTTAATGAATTGTGCATGCTACTTAACTTAAGATGTTTGTTTTCAAGATAAATTGTCCCTACCTCCATTTGCACTCAGTCCTAGCCTTCAGAATTTCTCCTTTGTCCAAGAACTAGTTACACTTAAATGGCACAATGAAGACATAATATACCAAGACATTGGAAATCAGATAGACTATAACAACAAAAAAATGAACGGTGTTTTTGATACATGAATATTTAGTATTGTAGAGAGAAATTTCCAGGCGTAAGCCAGAGCAGTCATTTGACCACTAGCTCCTTCTGGGTGGGCATTTTCCACGAGGGAAAACTTAATTTCAGCCAGACCCGATGTGCTGCTGTTAAACGTTTACTCCCCAAATACCTTTCAGGTCAGTAGCACAAAGAAACGCAAACATGACCAAGTGAGCATTTTATAAGAATTAATTGTTTCTCTTGAGTAACTGCTGCTTAAACAGCTTAGGATTTGGATCAGATTTGAAAGAAATGGCTGTACTAAAAATGCATTATATATACCTGAACTGGAATTTTTAGTATTAAGGAGTTTGGCTGAGAACTCTTTATTTGCTTTTTAATTAAAACATATTTGCAGATTTAAGGACAGTAGAGAGGAAGATAGGGAATTTAAATCTTGGTATATGATGTTCACTAAGTTTCAGTATATTTTACAGGTTGTTTTGCAAAAACACTCATGGAGCATGTTGGAATGAAGAACCTGAGGTCCTGGGCTAGTGTAAATCGAGGTGCCATTATTCTTTCTAGGTATGTATAATGCGTGCCTTTATCTGCACAGGGCCTTGTCCTGAATGCCTGTTTATGCAAGACATTTCTCCCTTCTAATATTGGTTCCCAATAGTCCACTATTACTATCCGCTACTTGTGGTCTAGACAAGTATACCAAATATTAGCAAGTAAATTTAACTCTTTCAATCAATACTTACAGTATTTTTCATCTGCCTTCTTTTGGAAGTTAAGGATCATAAAATTAAGACATTCAGAGATATCATTTGATTGTCTCACCACATTTATGGTTTTGACCAAAATGTAATTGTATTCTTTTTAATGAATTAGTCTTGTCCCTACAAAACCTCTGACAGTGATTTTTTTTTTAATTGTGACTGACTTTACATGTAATTTTTATTCATTGTTTTCAACTATTCTAAAAGGATTTGAGAAGTATTTGCTTCTAAAGTCTTCATGCTAATTGTTGATTTCCTAATTAAAAATGGATAGAAAACTGATGATTTGTGAATTGAAGCATTGCTTAACTTGCATATTGTTCTCTGAACAAAGTATGTTGAGGTTATAATTTATAGGTCACTGAACTTTCCATGCATTCTATTCCCAGATGACTCCCTTCTATTAGGAACATTCATTTAAAAATAGATTTGTGTGTTGTTTTGAAACAATCACTGTTGATTTTTTTTTCCACTGCTGTGTTACCTAGGTTTGGAATACAGATACCAATCTTAGTTTGAATGTTGGATAGTATTTCACATGCAAATACTATGCAATTTCATCTCTATTGTTTGTAAATATTATAAGTGTTTGTTCAATATAGAATTTAATTTGGTACACATATACTTACAAATATGCGCATTCATATGAGCATTCATTTTTTTTCAGGTATGTCAGTATCTCCAAACATATGGGTGATACAGATCATTTTGTTTATTTCTCATTAAAATTAGTTAATTTTCCATTGATGTTGAGCAGCCAGAATCCATTAGCTTAAACATGAACTAATTTCTTTACCAGGAATTTGGAGCGTTAACACCTACTAACACATCCTTTCATTACACTTAGTTAACTAAAAATTTCAGCAATGCCATAAAATTATACAGATTCTCATCAGTCAGTGATCCGCTTGGGTGAATTTCAAACATAAGGATGCTATAGGTTAATATGGAATACTAAGAATTGGAACAGAAACTCATGAAATATTTGGGATTCTAAAGTGAAGTTGAACTATAAAACCTAATGATTGATACAGTTATAGTTTTTGTTTGGTTTTTAGAATATTGTCATGTTCTTACTTACTTGGTAAAATTCTCTGTATTCGGTAAAATTTTACAGTAAGTGAAAAAGCATTCTGGGTAAAAAAAGAAAATCAGCCTTGTGTGCAGTCTGAGAAATAACTGAGGAAAGCGGACTTCTCTAGCATTTAAAAGCATGGGTTTCAGACAGGCTGCCTGGGTTCCAGTCCCAGTTCACTGTGTAGCCTTGGGCAAATCATTCAGCTCTTCTGAGGCTTCATTTTCTTGGCTGTAAAATGAGATAAATAATCTGTGTTGTTATGAAAACTAAATGAGATGATGCATATAAAATACTTAGCATTATATCCAATCCATGTGTTCAGTAAATATTAACTTTTATTACTATTATGCATTGTGTGACTATGTGCTTAGTCAAGGTATATAGAATAAAAACACCTAGTGAGTCACAGATCTTTTAAAAGGGCACCTTACTTCTCAGCTTTACTGGTTGCTGGAAGTTATTGGGACCAGGCACTTTAAAAAATACCAAGGAGTGTTTCAGAGGTCAGTATTTAAATGTGGCTGTGAAGAAGTTGGGGGAGAACAGGAAATGCTTTGGTGTCTTCTGCGGTCAAGCGCCTGTGTCCCCGTCCCTGTTTAAAGATTAAGAGGCCTGCGTGTTGCCAGCCTCCAGGGCTCCACTCACTGGTGAAAGAGCACTCCATCCAGGAGGTTCTCAGAAAGCAGAGAGGACGTTATTTTGCTTGATGACTCACACTGACTTACTGAGTGTCAGGCTTTGGCTGGGTGCTTTACATATAAGATCGTTTGAGCCCCCCAAATAACCCTGTGAGGTAGAAGGTAGATTGTGTTGTTGATCCCACTTTACAGGTCAGGAAACTGAGTCTCAGAGAGTTTAAATAGCATGCTCTTGGTTGTACAGTTACTGAGGGACAGATACAGGTTTCAGACCTAGGCAGTTGAGCTGTTTACCCCTTCACTAAATGTTTTTGCTGCAGAGTTTAGTAGTAGGCCGTTAACTGCTTGTCTTCCACAGCCTTACCTTTCCCTCTGTGCACCATTCACTCGTGTTCATTCAGTCACTCGTTGAGCATTTCTCGGCCATCTGTTCTGTACATGTGGTGCCATGAAAGAAAACATCGGGCCCTGCTCTTGGGGTTAGGTGGAGAAAGGAAGATAGAATACATGTATACAAAATTTTAAGGCCAGGTGTTAGTCCTAAGATAGTCAACGTGAAAGGAGGACCAATTCTGTATGGAACGGAGTTGCTCCTACATTTGCTTAAGTGACCCCACCAGCTAGATTATAAAACGTTTTTTATTTAGGTGTTTCTAGAATATAGGCTACTAACCTCCATCATTTATTTATCTGATAAAAATAATGTATTTTTGTTATAAGATTTGTTTTACAAGTCAATGAATTTTTTTAGATTGTGGATGCAGGTAGTACTTGCATATGATCTAGGGATTTTTATGAAATTTAATGTTTTGTTTGTTAATTTTTGTCTTCCCTCTTCAGCCTTCTCCAGAGTTCTGATCAAGAAGTTGCAAACAAAGTCAAAGCGGGACTGAAAAGCCTGATTCCCACATTGGAAAAAAACAAAAGCAACAGCAAAGGAGTAGAGACACTACTTGAGAAACTGTCCGCATAGGTGGAAACAACAAGATGGAATCATTTTTGCTCTTCTGATCTGTTTTCCCAGTGCGGAAAAGAAGGGTTAGGGTCCACCTTACTGGTAACTTGGGTGCTCTGTTTAGGAGTTTCTTTTTTGTATAAGAATTTATTTATAAAATAATTTCTAAAAATGCCTTTTAAATTTTTTTTTATTTATTTTAAATCCCAGCCATCTTCCCTAGTATCTTGAATTGTAAGTAAATGACAGTGTGCGGCAGTTATGTAAAAGGTTTGATAGTCAATATGCAGTGGGACCAACCAAATACATATAAAGGGGTTGTGTGAGTTAATTCAGGGGAAGACGTTCTTGGTGAGCAGTAGTCTGAGAAGGCTCCATGGAGGAGGTGGGACTTGAGAGGACCTCAAAGGAAGCAGGATGTGGAACAGAAGAGCCGAGGAGAGTTTTAGTGTGAACAGTGAGGTGGAACTTAAAGGTTCTGAAAGGAACCTCAGGAAGCCTTAGGACCTTGATGGGTACAGGGAAGGTGTGTACCCTTCAGCCAGGGCAGCCAGGAATGTGGGCTCCATGTTAGAGTTTGTTTGAAAGCCACTTTAATAAGTTAAGGCTCATAAGGGGAAATTGGCTAGATGAATTAGGGGATTACAGTGAGTAGCAGTGTTAAAGGTCAAGGTCACTGGGAAAATCTGCCTATCTTTGGATCTGGGCCTTCCAAGTAAATAGCTCCTTGTGATGAGACTTTCTTCATTGGATGGTCCCTAAAGTAGTTGAAGCCTACAGGGTTTGAGTTAGAAGGCAGGAGATGCAAATTTGGTAACAGACTATTTTCGATAACAAGCCTTGATGCTTTCTCTAAGTAGGCCTCTGTAACACTACACCCACTGGTGTCTGTCACTGTAATTACATCTGGAATTGCTGTGCCTTTCCTGACCAGATTACTGGGTCCCAGTACTACTCCCCACATACAAGCTACCAGAACTCTACCTGCCACCCTTTCCTGCCTGGAGCGTGGAACCGCCCAGAGAGCAGAAGAGGTGATCCACCTGCAACTCTCGGCATAGATTTCCCCTCCACCCACACGACCCCTGCCACCCAGGCCCCTGCCACCCAGCCTCATCTCAGGGTGGAGGTGGGACAGCTGGGGGAACTGGGGATGGGGTGAGGAGGTGAACAGGGAAAAGGCAACATCAGAGCTCACTTTTGTTTGAGTAATACCTTGTGAGTTTGTATTTTCCTTATAAAGGGCCCATCAGAAAGAGTGTGTGTGTGGGGGGGAACCCTACTATTTGTTCCATCTATGAGACTAAAAAAATAATGTACAAAATTCCTCCTCACCCCTTCTTTGCCCTCCCCAAAAGCAGCTACTTCCAATTCTTTTAATATATAGTTTTTAGTGTTTTGTTTGTTTGTTTGTTTGTTTTTTTAAATCAGTGTAGACCTTTTTTTTACTTCCAGTTATGGGAAAATAACAGATTAAGACTTTTTATCACCATTGTTCCCCCACTTCTTTTCTCTCCATCTTCCCAATAGAATTGCATCAATTTTGATAAATCAGTGTTGAGAGTTTATGTGATTATAGTGACATAAAATGTTAAATACTGAAATAAGTAGTGAACTGTCATTATATTTCCTAAACCATTTTATTTTTCTTGGAATTAATTGCCTCATTTATTCTCATTTGCTTACTTTTCTACATTTCTTTTATTAATTTTTCCCAAACTTTTCATCAGAATTGCTTAAACTCTTCTTAGCAGGTGCCCTTTTCCTCTTTTTTTTCACCCTGTGAGACTCCCGTGTTATTCTGATGTTCACCCTCTACCCCGTGGCTCCAGCATCCTGACTGATCTATTCGTTGTTTCTTATGTAGTGTGCCTCGAGTGGGTCCTAGCTGTGCTGAGATTTTAACAGCCTCATCCATTGTTCTACCAGACCATGCATACATTGCCCTTGTATGTCTTGTTCAAAAGAGCACTGATGTGGACTAATCTTGGTGGCCTGCCCATCCCTTCAGTCAGTGATGGATTCTGGAAGGAACCTGAACAAGGAACCTTAGAAGAGAAGTGTTGTTCCTGGGAGAGCTTTCTTAAGTTAAAGACCCACAAGGAAGAGAGTCCTTTTCCTGTTGGCTGCCTTTGGTAAATGCAGATCAACACTTAGAGCTGTTGCAGGATCTAGCACCATGAGAAGACAGAAAGCATGTAGAAGATGGCTGAGCCAAAAATGGGGAGAATCTGGAACTTGGGTGATGTTGAGCTGCTGAAGAAATCCACTCCTTGGAGTTGCCTCCTCCTGGACTTCTGGTTACGTGAGAGGAAAAACTCCCATTTACCATTCAGGCCATTTGGAATGGGATCTTCAGACACGTGCAGCCGAAAGTGTGCCAGCCTGATGTCTGAGTGCTAACCTCCACCCTGTCCCACACGTCAGCTCAACTAGCATCTCTTCAGATGCCCCTCCTGGAGCCAGCTGGCTTTCCAGATGTCCTGAAGAACTGCCGCATAACCACCATTGTCACTCTGGGCCCGCTTTTCTCCTGTGGAAAGCCCATTGTAGGATCCCACACATTTATTTTCTTGCCGAACACCTTTTATTGTTGCGGTTTAATGGATCATTATTTAACTAGGTTAACACCCCTTTTGAATGGGGCACAGTCTCTAGTAGTTTCCTGAGAAGAATGAGGTATGAGGTAAAATACTGAAGACCTTGCAAGTCAGAATGTCTTTATTCTGCCTTTTCATATTTGGGTACCTAGTTTAGCTGGATATAGAATTCTAATTTGAAATTAATTTTGCCTCAGAATTTTGAAGGCATTGGTCAGTATTTTCTTGGCAGAATTGCTGTGAAAGTCCGATGCCATCCTTATCCTCAGTCTTTGTATGTGGCCTTTTTTTGGGGGGGGGGGGCGAGGAGCTTCTCTGAAAGGTCATAGGACTTTTTAAAATCCCCAGCTGCCTTATATTTCACGGTCTTACGAACTGATATGTGTTGTGTGTGTCCGTTTATCATTTTCATGCTGGTACTTGTTGAACTGTTGTAGTCAGAAAAATGAAGCTCTAGTCTTTCTCTTTGGAACTCCGGACTCCAGTTATTTAGATTTTCGCGTGCTGGTTTAATCCTTTAGTTTTCTTTTTCAGTTCTTTAGCTTGTTTGTTGGTTGGTTGGTTGGTTTGTTTTTGCTCTTTGAACCATTAAAGTGTTCTTCTTTCTTGGATGAAATGTCTCTTACGTCTCTGGAGGTGTTATATTTTGTGTTTTTGTTTTACTTTGTCTCTTTTCTGTTGTCTGCTCTTTTTGTTTATTCTGGTCTCTCAATGTTTGAGGCTTTCTTAGAGATCTTTGACTCTCTTTATGTACCTAAAACTCATCAGAAAGGGGGCAGGCCCATCCTGTTCTCTACTATTAACTTCATTGCACAGGTGAGTAGGTATGGATTCTTCTGTTTCACTGAGGCCCTCCATATGTCAGGATCTCTAAGCCTTTTACCTGGGGCCATTTCAGTGCCTCTGGAGAGAAAGCCACCTGACAGCCAGTATTCTGTTTGCTCAACAAGTCAACGTGCAGATTTTATGTATCCCACTCACTCTCAGTACAGTGCCTCTCCCTCATGCTCTCTTGTACCTAGGACCCTCTATTCTGAAGTCCACAAAATAAACTGTCAGCTGTCTGCAAAGCTGTGGCATGGTAGTCAGCCAGTTTTAAACAGTCCCCCTGTTTCCCATCCCAGGCCTCACTCCAACTTTGCCCAGCACTTGGCACCTCTAATTGCTGGGTTTTGCTGTAGATCCTGGTGAGAATTAACGTGCTCCTCTGCATGCACTTAGTCATTGGCTTTCTCAGCCCTGCTACTTCTGTTCTAGATACTTGTTGGCATCATTCACCCACTGATGGCTTCTCTCCCATTGACTTTCTTCTTGTCAGTTTATACCATTTTATTCTTAGCAGAAGTCTATAAATGGTTTTTGTTTGTTTTTTTTGTTTGTTTTTTAGCTGAGCTATCCTGCCACCTGTTGGCAGCTCAGTGGCAGCTCCGCTCAGGCCGGGAATCGAACCGGCGACCCTGTTTCTCAGAGCTCTCTCTTGAGCAAGCTCTTAACCAACTGAGCCACTCGACCAGCTATAAATGGTTTTAACCCAACTTAAAACAACCCACCTAGATGAATGGAGGGTTTATTTTCTATGGAAGAGCTAACTGGATTTGAGAATGTCTTTAATTTTTTTTTTTTTTTTTTAAGATTTTTATTGGGGAATTGG